TTTCCTCCAAAAATAGTCAATGCTTTATCTCTTTATCTCTTCTTAATTTTTTGTCGTTTAGTGAAAAATTACTACCTATTTTCCCCTGCTACATATGGCTTTTAAATTATGGTTTACTTGTTTATTTTTGTATAGATATATGTATTTATTATGTATTTATTTATTGATTATATATTCCTGTGTGTACGTAGATATATATGTAGGAATGGAACGTAAGTTAATGGAGTGGAAACGGAACGTAAGTGTGTGAGAAGGAGGACGTGAGGTGAGAGAGAGAGAGAGGGAGGGAGGTGGCCTTTTCTTTTTGGAACGAGGAAGGGAAGCGTGCGTGACTTAAACTAAAAAAGGTGTTAAAAAGTGAAATTAAAAGAATATATTGATTATTCTCGATTTTGTTAAGAGTTCTTCCAAAATCCCACATATATAGATGTACATAATTATATATTTTTCTATATTTTGCGTACATCCTTACCCTCTCTCACTGGTCATTATAACCTTTGTAATGTAGTTGGCTAGAAGAGATCATTTCTAAGCGATAAGGCCAAATAAAAATGCAATAAAAAATATTTTGACAAAAATATTACAACAAATGTTTAATATTACATCATATTATAAACGTATAAAGAAGAAATAAGGAAAAAGGATAATAGAGATGAGGCATTAGATGAGGCATTAAAGTTCTTATTAAAAAATCCATTATTTCTTTTAAGGACAATTCCATAGGTATACTAGCTGTATGCAAGAACAAGACAGTATGGAATACGGATAGCCTAGTAGCACTTATGTCGGCAAGTCGACACCCTTCGTTGTGATTAGGGTGTCCAGACTGTTTGCGTTTTAAAGCCTATAAAAATAAATAATTAATACATATTTTTTATAAATAATTAAAGACGTTATTAAAATTAGGAACGTCTATTTTGAGTTGAGGAGGTATTTTATATACTTAACACGTTGGCGCAGGGTAAAGTAGGAGTCGGTATTGTCATTTGGCACATATTTTTTACATATCGAGGATCAATACTTCTTTAGATAGAAGACACATATTTTTTACATATCGAGGTCAATACTTCTTTAGGAGATATAGCATATCGGACCATAATATAACAGATCGTCTCATCTCATCATCAACATCAATGTTTCGTAAATCTTCCAAAATTAGGGTGTCACGGTGTCTATATAATACAAAGTAACTTTGCTCGCACGTGGTAAATTTCAGATGCACATATGCAGCTCAATATTTGCTCATAGCGTCGCCTGGTCTGAAGTACTCGCTGTCTCAAGCAGCTTTAGTACCAAATTTATTGTAGACAATCAAAGGGTTCCAGGCTCTACTTGTGAAAAAATGTATGTAATTGGTCATAACAGAAGAAGATTAAGAATCAGTCCACGCATTGAAACGTCGCAATTTGCTTGGATAATGTACAGTTTCTTTTCAGAGTTTTCAGAGTCTGAACTCGAATTAGCTTTAGTGGAAGTTACATAATATTATTCAAAACCGTACGTCATCAGCGTAAGGATCTGGGCCGGATTTAGGTGTTGATGCCTCATCAAACAACTTTTAAATAAGCGTTATCGTCGTGAAAACGAGTCATTAGATATCACCTAAGATAAGGTGAAATACGAATATTTACAATTTAATAAGTTTTGTACAGAAAAATATTATAGTAATAAAATTATAATGAAAAAATATGATAAGTGACGTTTCGTCCCTCACAGATGCGCACTGACTGCCGGAGTTGAACAATGGGTGCGTTTGCCAGAAAAAAGCGCTAGCAAGCGCTTGTAAGCAAAATGGCGAAACTAAACAGGTTTCGGCCAGGACACGTTTGCTAATCTTCAGTAGCGCTATTTTGCGCCATTTTGCTTATTTAACTTGTTTGTTTTGAAGTAGACTTTATAAGTTGTTTTGTGCAATATTAGTTTTAAGTAACATAATGACGTGAATAGACATATACATGTTATTAAAAATTTACGATTGGTAAGTTTTTAATATGAATATTTTACAAACATATATATTTAAATTAGGTTAGGTTCCCCGGTTAAAACTAACTTCGTGTCCTAGAGGAAAATAGCTACTTAAGATTTGACAGCGGTTACCGCTTACGATCGCCATTTTGCTTACAAGCGCTTGCTAGCGCTTTTTTCTGCCAAACGCACCCAATATGTTTTGAATGACAACGTCCAGACGGCGTAGACTGTTGTTTTTGTTTGATCGATTTAAGTTAACTACGTTTTCACAACGTTATATGGAGCTAACAAATTTTACAGATATTTTTTTATATAAGAGGGGGTAAACGTGCACAAACAGATATGAAGACATTTAGAGCAGGCTCGTCTTTTGTTAGGCAAAAATAATGCTCATCGACAGCTTTTCAAATTAGATGTGTACAAATTGTCGATCAATGTAAATCTAGACCCGATACATTTATTCGTAGGCCATACAAAAGATTGTGCTGTGCGTGAATCTAACCGCCAAGTCGCAGCCAAACCCATTGCAATACCGAGTCGTATTTATTACTTATGTTTAAATTTCTTTAAACAAATTATTAAAAATGTTTAAAAGTTGACCACAATTACAAATATAATTATTTCCATCAGGCTTTTATAAGTTAACATCGCTAGAGAATAAATATGACATCTGTAAATATACGTATATTTTTTATTAAATAAAGTCAGTTAAAATTTTTATTTTATTAATGAAGTAAACAATATAACATTTAAAAACATTTTTAGACACCTAGCCCTAAAAATGTAAAGGAATTATTGGCAACCCTTGCAATACCCACAAAGGGGCGGCGCGCGCACAATCCCCGGGTCGATACCAAACCAGACTCCCATGTTTTTTATGTCCTATCATGAATTACCCAATAAAGAACATTTCCAATTACCAAATGCAATCTGGCTACTACGATGTACAAACATTACAATAGAATTCTTTCAAACAGTTTACAGACTCTCTTCCGAATGTTTGCGTAAACGCGCTTGTTTTCATCACTGCGTCGTCAACGGAAACACTTTTGATAACTCGTATGCATTGCGTTTTTGGCGGGATTCTTAAATGTTACCTTTAATTATTGAGGAAACTTTATTTTTAACAACCAGTGACAAAAATGTGAAATGGTCCTATAGACATTTATAGAATGGCTGATAGCATAGAAGATGATATACTCATCTCGTTTACACCAGATGTAAATGTAAAATATAAATATACAGAAAGTCGAGGGGAGTTGCGTCAAAGGTGTGCGTACGTGCGCGAGTACGTTTGGTAGTAAGACCAAAAGTTAGGCGACTACGGCAAATTGTTCTCTCTATTAAAGAATGCGCAAGGGTAGATTTTCCTAACTAAAACTTGTGAGGCCCATGTCATGAAGTTTTTGATGATATCATGAGGCTGTTCTTCTATTCTGACTGATCTATCTGACAATATTTAAATCATGATTTACTCGAAACTTTTAATAAAAAAAATATTTTACTATTTTGCCCTATCGAATTACCGAATAAATAAAAAAGTTTAAAATTTTATACCTTATCTAGTGGCGACGTAATAATAATAATAAATATATCTTTATTCGACAATTCTGTTTCATTACAAGATCATTGAACTCCACCAAACTAGGTTCCTACACAGTATAAATATCCTGTAGGTGCCGTAAGACAGAGAAAGGGAAACAAAACAAGGGATGAACAGAAGCATATTCCTGACAACAGCTCGAAATAATAAAAACTGCGGTTGCGAACTCTTTTGCCACGCGGTGCAACCGTGGCAAATATCCCCCCAATGAGACCCATAGATTGGTTATTTTCAACAGTAGACTTTTGAAGACGATATTACTTTACGATTATTTTTTTAGTAAAGATTATTGCTTACAAAAGAAAGACCATTGACAAAAAACATTTGTTTGGATATACCTATATTGTTACGCTGCCGATGTTAAAATAATTCTTCGCTCCATTTTGTCTTGAAAATGTGTAAAAATTTGACAAAGGCAATAAATATTAGAAGATTCTGTGAATAACGATAGATGGCAGTATCTCAAATTTGGACCGGAGACTAAGTGCAGAGCAGTGTTAAAGGTGCAAGACGTCTGGTGATGCGAGCGCCAATATGGGATGGGATGGGATAGAATGCCTTGAGGCATTAAGATCTTTGTAATCCATTTTAATAAGGTATTTACGTGGTAGAGCGATGCTGCAGATATATTATGGTCGTGGCACGAATGGGTCAGCACGATTGGAGTAGGACCACGCTCTCACAGAATACTAGCGTAATATAGCAGCTCAGTGCTGCTGTGTTTCGTATGGTGAGTGTAGAGAACAGGATACCCTTTTTGTTGGAAACGAGACATTTCATTTTAGTCCTCAGGGGTAACAGGGCATCTGCATTTTGATTATTAACCGAGGATAGATGTAGATGCCACAGCATCCACTCACCACAGGTGGACTGTTGGCTCGATTGTCAAACTTATTCTATAAAAAAGATGTTATAAACAACAAAGTGTAATTTAATATTTGCTTGCCAAAAATTAACTAATATGGATTTCTTTTTCTGGATTTCTCACGCAGTTGGAAATGGAAAGCACTAATTATTGTTTTTTTTTGTTATATTATCTGCAATTATGCAACTGCAACTCATTGCTAAGCCATTGCACCACGAAGCCGTACTCTAATGCGTAGTTTTCTACTTTGCGTTTCGGACTCTAAAAGTGCTGTTTTATAAGCAAACAAATAAAAGAACACTTAAGAAATAAAAATTTAATCTTACGCCGAAATCAAATTCCAAATAGTTTAAAATTTCTGGAGAGAAGGAAAGGAGGGAGTGACCTAAATTTTTACTCAGGCTCAACTTCAGACCAGAGAAACTTGCTTTAGATCCGACGACCCCTTGCATGAAAATCGGATCCATAATATAAGCGAGGATTTAAGAAGCAAGTGTTTATTTATAGGTTATGTTCGTTCAAGAGTTTATGTTAATGCATGACATGTAAAAAGTAATAACTCACCTGGAGGTTGTGATGAGGTTGCGTGAGATGTAACTGCTGTTGTTGGGACATGTGCAAATGGTCCATAGAGGGCGGATTGGGACGAGGTCGATACCCGCTGTATCCTCGATACCTCGCCCAATCTCCACCAGTCGCCTGCTGGTGTTGCTCCGCCATATGCTTCAAAGTCTGAGCAGCCGGGGACATCTCACCACCGCTGTATGGCCTCGCAGTATCCCCCTCATTCGGCTCTAAACCACCGGCTAAACCACCTCCACCGTTCAATTTTCCCGCGTCAAGATCAAAGTCTTTCATGAACTCCGGATACTCGGAAATTTCCGTAATAAGATCTTCGAACGTGTCATCACCGTCTTCTTCTCCGATTAGATCGGCTAGGCCGGGGAAAGCGGATGCGGCATCTCGCTCCAAGGCCGCTGCACATTCGTCCAAGCCGACAAATTCATCGTCAGCTACTTCGGACTTGCATTCAGCTTTACATTCCCGTTCGCAGTCTAGAGGCGATGGAACACGAGGGGGCTGCGGAGGCGGTGGAGATCCCGAGGTTTTTACGGCGTTCGCGAGGGCTTTTACTGTCACATTGGTGGAAATTTGCTGGGGTTGTGAGTCTGCAGCGGATGTGGTGAATTCAAGTTGTTGCACTATTTCCACGGAGAACTTGGTGAGGCCTTCGCCCGTGCCGCCGCCGCCAGCTCCGCTGCATTGCAACTTGGCGGGTGGCTCGTAGTCCCCACACCCGAATTTTTGTTGCTGTAACAAATTTATACATAATCAATATACATAATACATAATAAAACATATTTTACGTAGTAGAGCCAGCTGAGAAGAGATAGGGGGTTTTTGGGGGAAGGCACTGGTGGAGGTTGGGGGAGAGTTGTTTTCTATCCTATTAACCTTCATAGATTGTATAATCATTCAAACTAAAATAACTAATGACAAATAATAAAGCAACAAAAATGGAAAAAAGTATGTCTTACATGGTGTTGATTCTATTTAGATATAATTATAATTAAAACAAAATAAAATCTATATTGCAAATAAAACAATTGCTACCAGTGATGATTGTATTAATTTAATAAATATTAAAAGTAAATTATGTCAATATTCATTCAATACAAAACATGCTCATAAACGAGTCAGACTTGGAACGAACAAATCCGCGCAAACAGTTAATATCCGGCATACATATTATAGCAAGCTTCTCTTCCGTTGCGGAATGGACTTACGAAATACGACTCACACGAAATTGAATATTATAAATGAACTACCTATACAATTTTACAACACACGTTAAGTAGAATAGATCTGCAAGGTTTACATTTTCCCTTCATATAAACAATAGCGAACAGAGTACAATAGACCTTGATGCTTGTTCATATGACGTGTGCGAACAAAACTGTTACTACGGGTCTTGTACTAATAATAAACAAACAACCAGCCAGTCTAAACGTTTGGACAAAATAAGATGTATCTAAATTGTCTTAATAAACATTTATACATAAAGTTTCCAGTATAACTATTATTTATATATCCACTCGAACCAACTAGAAACAAACTTTAACGTGCAAGTGAGGGACTCATCCCTTTCTAAAGAATGTTTTTTATTAGTGATCGATGTTCCCATATGATTCCTATTTCCATCTAATCAGAAAAATGTAATACGCCATTCTAATTTTCTAACTCGTATTAAGATAGTGATAGTTTAGAAGGAATAATTGCAAATAAACTGAACTGCACAGTTGTGTTTGTTTATGCGCAATCATTCTGTACAGTTTAGTTTATATGAAATCATTCGTAAGCATATGCTTAGACTGTACGATAAACACATTCATTACGTGTGAGAGTGATCACGCATTGAAGTGTTACAATTACATGTATGTGATAGAGATAGGGTACATTATCGTGAAAACAATGTCACAATTATTGTCATAATTAAATTCCGTGTTGCCTTTTCAACTTATTACTATCACCTAAAGCCTAAAGTTTTTTTTACACTCCGCTTTTTTACTTATAAATTCAACCACGATACTGTGGAGTGGTATAGCTTGATAAGCGACGTGATGACACTATAAATAGTCAACAATGGGCTCTCATGGATTACCTATAAGCTATATCCTTTGTGCTTTGGTTATATAATTGTTACAAGCTGTGTATAATCAAAGGCTTTTTATAATGCAGTATGAGTAGTAACGTAATAGTAACTAAAAGAGGAAGCTTGAGTTTGTAGACACTTTTATAGTTATTAATAATGAACAAATTCTTATAACAAATAAGAAAATCTAAAATTACGAAATCTACAGTTTTTTGTTTAAGGGGAAATATAACCTCAAATGGCTTAGCAAGATCCTCCGTTATGCCGAAAGTATTGCAGCATTAATTTTGAAATAAATATATGGTAAAGTTGAGGATTAATGTTAAGGACTATGTTAAAAAACACGATTCCGTATAATTTTCTCGATAGAAAAAAAATCCAAAGTTACCTCCAAACTGAACAATAAACCACTGTTATTCATAAAATACTTTAAATAAGATCATGAAACTTTGCATACTAACTGAACTAACTATAAAGCAGTGCTTATGTTATTTACTTTTTTTTAAAATACCATTATTTTCACTGTAAAAAGAAATTACCTAAACTATCGGCGCCTAAGCTTGATTCCTGTCGCCCCGTTAGTATCGCTCCGGCTTTTGAAGGGAGAAGTTGTGTCGCTTACGATCAGAATACACATTACGCAACAGGACGACGTAAAATTAAAATGGGAAATAACCGTTATAAAAATAAGAAGCGACTGGCTTGGCGTTAAGAAACAGGCATAAATATGATAAACCTAATGAAATAAGTGTCTAACGACCTTTCTACTTACAGTATTAGTGATTACAAACATGTCGGTACATAGCATACGACGCGCGGGGAAGTGGGGGCGAAATTAGAATTTGAGCTGACTTATATATCCCCTTAACACAGGGCCGCAAATAGACGCATACCGTTACAGCATATTGATGTTCACTGCTAAACATAGGGTGCCCATAGGTTGCCGCATAAGGGGGATATTCGCCATAGTTGCCACGCTTGGCAAGCGGCTGCCAACCCGCTTAGTCGTTATTACCTTTTGATTTGTTTCCCTCTGTTGCCTCTTACCACACCCACGGGGTATGATGGGGGTAGCGACAGCATAAAAATAAACAAAATAACAATAATATTTGGAAACCTGTAACTTCAAACAAAGAAAGCTATAGGTGCATTGTCACCTCTCATCTCTAATAACGAAGATGGAATCTATTACACCTTACAGCCTATTAGTATACTGGTACTCTTTACTTTTCAGACCGGAAACTAACAGTTCGTGCAATGCTCCTTGTCGGCAGAAACAGGTCAGAGGTTGGCACCTATTCAGATGAACTTGTAGGCAAGAAAAGGAGTCCTATCACTAATTAATATTGAACAACGTAGATAGCAGTTAGCAGTATCACATCTTTGTATGGATGTATGGTTAATCTGCTATTTTATTCGATCGGTGGCAGGATACTAAGGTACCTCTAAAGGAGCGGGAGAGCGATAGGCTTGAAGAAGGTGGTACTGGGGTGCCCTGGCCTAGAGTTGAGCATAACATTCCATGTCAGGCCAAACTTGCGCCTTTTTTATAGAATAAGGGTGACAAACGAGCACACAGTCCACCTGATGGTAAGTGGATGCTGTGACCCATAGACATCTACATTTATCCTCTATGAAAATTCAAAATGCAGATGCGTTATCACACTCTAGGACTAAGATGGAATGCCTCGTTTCCAGTAAAAAGGGTCTCTCAGTTCTCTACACTCACAATACGAAACACGACAGCATTAAGCAATTTTACGCTGGTATTTTGTGAGAGCGTGGTCCTACCCCGGTCGAGCCGAGCCATTAGTACTACAACCATAACATAGCTACAGCGTGGCTATACTACTTCCACTACTACGTCTACTTGCCAGCTAAGCTTCTTAGGGAACAATTTGGCCTTTCCTCCCGGCCACGCCACGGAACTAGGCGTCATTCGATATGTTCACACCGATTCTGACACAGGCTGAACGGGAGGGGTGCCTTAAAAATGATAAGAAACTTAACCTAATGCAAATTATTCGGATGTGCCCGATACAACACAGCTTTATAATATAATTATGTATATTTTGGTTGCAAGTGTCGATAGAATCGATTAAACGTTATAGAAAACAGTCCCAGGCACTGGAGGCCGCCGCAGTGAACGGCGCGAGACAATGCGAAGCGTTCGTTGTGAAACTCGGGGCTTGCACAACACCGTGCTCTGTTACATTCAACTGTCGCTAGAAGCGCTCGGAATTATTGTTAATAAGCTACTTTAGTCACTGTATAAATATAAAACGCGCAGGTGACCTAACAAAACAAAGCACTTATACCTAAACTTTCTAAGTGCAGGAAACTTCAACATCACTGGCGGTACCAACGGTACTCAACATCAATGGTGAGTACCTACATCACTCAACATCAGACAACGATAGTTGATAGTCATTATAAAAGAATCGCTGTAGGACCTAAAAACTGCTCAATAACGTAAACAGTCCTTCCAAAGGATAAATCTAAAGATGAACATGTACAAGACAAACGTCATGTGTGTCGCCCATATCACACCGACATCGGAAGCAAAGCTCTTAAACAAATCGTCCAACTAGGTAAATCTAACTTACACCGAGAAGTCAATCAACGGATACAACTTGGCTGGACAGCATTCGTGAGATTTTTTTAAAATAACTATCTGAAGTGATATACAAACTTACAGCCCCCACATAAGTGGCTATTGCTCGTAGACGTCTGCAACCAACTTCACATAAAAAAGGCCTCTGAGGAATAGAATAAGATGGAATGCTTCAGAGTCTGTAATGATACTGGTTCTCTATACCCTCCAGCAGGAACAGAGCAGTTCACGCACTACTGCTTGCCGGCAGAAATGAGTGAGAGGCTGCCTATCCAAGTGGCCTTTTTTTACCTATTGCCTAGGACAATTACGACACATCTTCTCATACATACCACAATACCTTAAAAAATTAAAAACGAGATTGTTACAACCAGTGCATGATGACATATGAATCTGAGACGTGGTCCTTTAGTGCTGGACGAGGAAGCTAAAGAACGCTAAACGAGCTATGAAGAGATCATTGCTCGTAGTTTCTCTGCATGATAGACTTCGTAACGAGAATTGAGAATATCCGTAGTAGATGCTATGATTTGCCTATTTTTGTAACGAAATTGTTCAATATGCCATTTAAAAAGACTGATTTAAAATTAAGTGTGTTTTATCAGTTGTTAACGTTCTACTTTTAACTATTTAGTAGCTTACGTTGAATATTGCATAAAATATTTTTATATGAAATACTGTCGAAACGGGGACGGGAAAATAAAATTTTATAATACACAATAACTTTATTTTTAAAAAGAATACTATTAGCAGTGCAGCAGTTAAGACGCACTTTAATTACTGCTAAAATTTGTTTTCATTTCTTGTGCCAATCAAAGCTCTCAAAGTGTAAGCTAACTCACAGTGTAAGGAAATGGTAATTCGATTTCAGTGTGGATGTTCATTGCACATGGAGGTTGAGATACTGATAGTGACTGTACGACGGTAGCTATACTGTCAGCGGCGTCGTATGAGGCACGGGATGCGGTGGCAGGGGGTCAAGTCAATTGACGTCGGGCTACATCCGGCAGCGCTCGTAACCTACGCACGTGCTCACTAATTATC